TATTTTAAATGGATGAATGAATGAGTTTGTCCCATGTATCTATTGCACCGATCCGCACCGCATTTGTCCGCGTTGAATATAAGCCCACTGTGCGCCTAGAAACCATTGACGTGATTGAGAAGTAGACAGAGAGATCAGGAAAATCCATCGAACCGCTTGTGAAGGAGGTCAAGTGACTCGTCCACTTAGAGCACCACGTAAAACATTTCAGCCTTATATTGCGCACTATATAGCAGAAGGATTGAATGCAGAATAGATTTGCAATGATGGCCACAACTGGCAGACATTTTCAGGGCTAAATCATAAAATAAATCGCTTTCGATACAATATAGTAGAACCTACTTTCAACAAACCATAAATGGTTGGCATCACATGTGTGCATGAGAATGACATGCGGGGCTGCCAATCGGCTGAGAATTTTTGATGAAGACCATGCCACAGTGGGTTTGGGCTGGTTGTAGTATTTAAACCGAATACCTTTGGTTATCAAATACCTGATTACATTTGTGCACAACTCTGGAGAGCAATTGCTGCGATCGTGCAACGAGTACGCACGCACCACCATGCTACTTCCAGGTAAGCAATCAATAAATGTATTTCCCGACCAATCCTGTGGTTTCAAGTGACAATTATCGGATTGGTTGAATGCAAAATGGAAACCCAATGAGCTAGATCGTTGTTGATTGGACGTCGAGGAACAGAACAATGATAGTTTGATGCTTGTGAAATTTATTGGCATGAAATTTCCGAATAGAATTGACTGTATCCACCGCTCGTTTTTGTTTGTACCTTACTTTGCTCTTTTCCGTGTTTTCAGTCTGCTTCCGAGTTCGCGCTTCACAATTCCGATTCTTATTCAGGATACTACGGCAACACAGTTTGACCGCATTCACCTGTATTCTATTTCTGATTGTGCACTCTCCCTAATTCGGTGTGTTCATTATAGAAAACCTGCGAGTTCTTGTTTGTTTGTTTGTTTTTAATGCATACGATATCTTTGTACAAATTTCCTGGCGCTTATTGTAATACTATAACCGCGTTAGCTCATGGAGCCTTCCAATTCCATGCCGGTGTTGCACTTGGTCATTGCTGAATGGAATCCGCTATTTATACGAGTTCTGAGTTCGAATATAAATTGCATTTGGTGTATGAGATTGACCTCGATACAATTATTGTACACTTTAAATGCGTTGAATACGCAGTGTACGATTCGAATAAATTACGTGTGCTATTCCATTCCAAGTTGTTCTCCTTCGGAGATCCTCAGGTAGCACAACGCAGCGCATCGATCGGCTACAAAGAGTTATTTATGAGCTACATTAACTACATTTGTTAATAAACGGTAACTTACCTTTCAAATGTATTCATAACATTTGTTTCTTGGTCTGAAGACACGTTTCCATACCTAAATCAACCAAGGTGATTGTATTTTTGGAATGAAGATTTCAGGATTATTGTTTTAATTTACGGCGAAAAATGATAGTTTGAGTGGCTCTTGTGCTGGGTTGTCGTCTGCTGTCGCCACGTAGAAGTTCTTATTTCTTAACGTCCATTGGATGTTAAGGAGAGTTTCATGATACATTTATTTCATTGTTATTACTTTTGGTTCCATTATCAATTTTTTCCGAGAATGATTTCAAAAATCATACGAAAAACGTAATTTTATTCAGCTTCTTAAAATGTCATCCATATCTTGCTGCACATTTTATAAGATATTTGAGAGCAAAGAAGACAGAAATCATAAAACGGAATTTTCAAAAGTGTAGCTCACTGTTAGCGGCTAATGGCGCGCTATTAGCTGACGATGTGCTACCTGGGTCGGTCGTGAGCGAAATCCGATACTGCAATTCGGATTCCCTTCACATTGCTACATTTTGCGTCGCGGCCGGTCTATTGAATAATAAATTCGATTTCATTAGAATCCTTATATCTCAACTGCAATGCCCGCGATATTGAGGATAATTTTGAACGTTTTGAAGTTTGATGAATACTGCGAGATGTTAACATTTCTTTTAATCTCTTCAGACGCTACAACGTTATTACGTAACTGGAACTCCAGGATTTTGGCGTTTAGTGAGGTGATGCTAATCAAGTTACGTAACCCAATCTGGTGCGCATAAATGTTTCTTACTCAATCATTTAGACTGCCATGGACCTGATTTCCCACCCCACCCTCTCCCCCGCTTCCCTGACTATTGTCCGTTTTACCAGTGTGGTTATCAAAACTTGCTTGTATAAATGGCAGATTGTTTTACGTCGTAGCGACTGAAGAGAATAAACGACATATTAACATCTCGCATTATTTGTCTCCTCTCGGTTCTAAAGAATTGGATAAAGGGGACCCAATGTTTCAAGTTTTGAAATTTGGTGGTTGACTAATTCTAATTCCGTCGAGGAAAAAAATCCGCTTTATTTTTGAATGCTGCCGGTAAAAATGCTTATACTCTAATCAAGAACTTGACTTATCCTTCTCCATCTGTTTGTGTGCCGTACGAGGATTTAAAATTCCTTCTTCCTCAGCATGTGAAGCCGACGAAGTTGTAAGCCTCAGAGAGAGCTAAATTTCATTGAATGGTACGCAATCCGAACCAAGGCATCCATGAATTCATCCATGAATCGCTCACACAAGCTGCAAAATGTGACTTTAGAGACTTACTGAACATGCAGTTGAGAAATCGACTGATTGCTGGCATTAACAATACTGTTTTGCAAAACGAACTTATGAAGCTATCCAATCCAACGTTCAAAGATGTGCGGGCCTATTGTGAACATTATCAGGATATTCGCGCCACGACTTCATCTATGCCATAAACTATAGAATCTACAGCGATCTTCAATTCACTCAAAACCAAATTCACGAAAGTTCCTGCTACACCTGGACGCTTCAAACCAGTTATACAATCTCGCTCACACAATGTGACATATTCGTATAAGTCCTATGGAAATAGTGCATCCTGCAGTAAACGTAATTCCTATCGATTTCGTTACGCTTCATGTCACGTGTGGCAAAATTGGTCATACTCAGTCTGCGTGTCGCAGTACCAAAAGTTGTCATTTAATTCAATCCCATGCCTCTGAAGTGAGTGACAGACAAACATTTTTCTTTTCTATCTTTGGCAATTACCTTCCATTCTGATCACATTCGTAAACAAATATTCAGTTCCTCTGGTAACTCACTTTGTAGGAACTAGGTTATCGGTACCCCGGGCTAATACGTATAGGTCGCAAACGTACGTTCGTACGAGGAGAGAACAAGGCGATTCACGAAACGGAGGACAACGTGTATTATAAAGACCTGCAGGACAAGAGAGAGATACAGAGGCGTGAGCAAGCGTGCAGAAAGTGAAAGCAAACACGTGCTGACCGAAGAGGTGGCCTTGGTGTGATAAGACAATGAGATGCACAGGAAGAAATGCACATTGAGAACGGAATGTGATTGGTTACTACAGAGCTCCCCCCCCCCTTTAAAAGGCTAGAGAGAGCCTTCAATAAGGGTGCATGCATTGTTTGTGGGGTGTGCAAATCCCGAAAAAAGGTAGTTTTGGTCATTACCGTGAAAGTATGGGTACAAGTTCCAGGTGATGTGGCAGGGATTGCTGGCCCACAAAATAAATGTGGGGAAATGAGAATGTCATGGATCTGCAGGTCCGTCGTCGTTTCGCTACTTGCCCCGGTTTGGTTTGTCTTGAAATAAAATAGGAGGACCGTCGCAGCTGGGCACGAGCCAGTAAAA